ATCTCCGTTACCAGTTACACATAGAAAGCGTTGAGCAAGTGCGGCAGGGAGAGATGAGGACTGTTATGTTGCTAAGATAGATTTCCATGAGGAAAAGAATTAACCCCTCAGGCTGAGGTGAACAGAGAGCCGGGGGACACAGCCAACCGACCGCCAGGAGCTTTGGCAGCTGTGGGGAGTCCAGTGACTCATCGTGGGCGGGGGAGGGGATGGCTGCAGGAACGTCCCTATACCTATACCTCTGCCTCTAGTGGTGTCACCATGTTGTAATACTCAGAAGCTCGTTCAGTCAGACATGGCCCAAGTCCTCAGGGTGTGCTATTTAGAGCCTCAGAATCTTGCAAGGAACTAGGAGCCATCTCCCTGTGGTTCTCAAACTTTTCACAGTGATAAGTTCCCTCCTCTCCCTTTTTTATCTCTAATAAAATTTTATAAGCCATCCTATTATATAAAACAAATAGAGTGGTGTGTGACTAATAAAAAAAATATTTTAAAATGGAAATGTATTCTATGGACTTATGTTAGCATTAGTCAGAACAGTACAGCGATTTTGAAAAATCAAAAAACTCATAATTGGGGCTATGGAAGCTGGTTTCAGTTTTTCTAGCAGATCTATCATCTATAAAATTCAAATTAAAGTGCAAATGGAATCCCAGAAGTATCCTGGTGGTACTTGGCATACCTGAATCTGGCTTTGTATTAGTCATGGTCTCAGCAGGAAATGGTTTGCACTCCCTCCTCAATTAAATTACTCAGAGGAGGGTCTGAAACTTGCTAAACCATTTGCAAAAACATCGCAGAGAAACCAAATGGGCTGGTGGCATACCCCAGGGTAGCACCAATGGAGGTGACACCATCCCCAGGGCCATCCCCGTTTGTCCTTCCCACACCCCCAGCCTTTTCATCTCTGAGGTCTGAAGACTGCACTGGGTATAGAATGCTAATGTCACCCCTCCTTTGGGACTGGGGTTCAGGGGACAGGCTTAGCTTCATCCGGTAACTCCCTTTATTCCGGCCAGGATATTTCTGCTCCAGGGTTGCTGTGCAGCCCAGCTGACTTTGCAAGTGTGAAGAGAAAGCGCACCTATCCAGGGTCAGAGCCGGGCCAGGAGCTCTTTGGCCTCTGCCACACACTCTAAGGTCACACACTTTCTCAGGAAGGATGGGAAGAAGTCAGCCCCACCATGTTCGGGGCTACTAACTAGACCGAGGTTACCAATTCTGGCCTGGGAAATATCCTCCTGGATGCCTATCTGTGCCTGCTGAGCAGCGGTAGAGACTCTGGGATCCCTGGTGACATCCGGGATCATGCTTCCCGAGGAGTTCACCCTTTGCCTGCTTCTCACAGAAGGTTGGGCTTGAACGACCTCTTCTAAAGCACACACCATCAAGGTGGTGGGTGGCAGCCACTGCCTTGCTGTGGACTGGGGAAGCCGTGGCGAAGATCCCCCTGCCCTCGAGCTCCAAGTCACTGGTGGTTTGCGGCAGTTGGGTGGGGACGGTGTGCACCTTAGGACTTCCTTGGCTTAGTGGAAACAGCACACAAGCAAGCTTCGGAGTGAGGGGATGGCTACTTACTTGCTGAGGCTTTAGGGTACAACAGTCGCCTCACAAGGAAGCCACGTGAACCCCTCAGCCTCCGGGGCGTTCTCCCACTGTGTGGCCACACCCACCAACTTGCCCTGGTTCCCAGGGATGCTGCCAGCCTAGCTGGACTTCTCCACGGCTGCTGTCCCGTCCCACCCCGGAGTGCCTGCTGCCTCCTGGGTTTACCGAGCTCCCAGCTCCTGCCTGTCTTCAACACGTCATGGTTAACTGGGCCACATAGGCATACGCTCCACGTCTGTTTGTCTGAACTGTTAGGACCCTCGGATAACCTCGGTGTCCCAGGCAACAGAGGGGTCCTTCTGACCTCTACCTCTCTTCTCTTCTAGCAGAAGAGCTTAGTTTTCTCTTTTGTAGTTTTTCAGATTAAACAGCACCAATCTGGGGTTGGGTAAGGCTCTTCTCATCTGTAGCTCTGTAGTCAGCAAGGCCAATGCTGTTTATGTGCCACGGTGCCTGGGGCTAACAGGACTGTGCCAGCCGGGGACCTTGCTTTAACCTTGAATACCATGTGACTTCCCAGATCATCCAGGATCACACTGCAGCACTGCAGCAAACCATTTAGGTCTAAATGGACTTCACCATTAAACTCTTCTCTGTAGAGAGCAATTGGCACTATGTAAGTAGGTCTTCTGAGAGACCTCCTTACAAACAGGCATCACTTATTGATTATTCACACAGGAGGAACCGCCAAGGGTAGCCTCATCCTCATGCTTCTCTAGCCCATAATAAATTCACACAGTGCAATGTTAGAACATGGAGCGGTGTCTCATCTGCACAGCGAGAACATCAGGAGAGTCAGGTATTTTTTTTTGCTTACTGCTGTAGCCAAGGCTATTTGATCTTGTTTACATGAATCAGGAAATGAAAAATGAAAATAAGTCTGGGTCCCTGATGCAAAGTACACATTCTCTGTGTGAGTCAGCTTTCTGTTACTATAGCAAAATACCTGAGATAATCAACTAATGAAGAGGAAAGGTTTACTTTGACTCAAAACCGCTTACCTCATGGCCAAGATGAGAAGGAGAGGAAGAAATGGGGATCCCACAACCCCCTTCAAGGGGATACCCTCAATGACCTGAGACCTCCCACTAGGCCCCTCTGCCTCACAATAGTGCCAAGCTGGGGACCAAGCTTTTAACATGTGCATTTGGGGAACATTTGAGATCTAAACTATTGCTCTCTCACTTGATTTAAACATAATGAAAAAAAAATACCCCAATAATGCAATTCATGGAGCTTTTCTTGTTGATTCATTAATTACTTTTCATTGCTACTGGACACCTAAAATCTTATGAAATTCTGATGAATGAATGTGAATGAGCCACTCTATAATTACATCTATATTTTAAATAGCTTCTATTTATTTTTTTTCCTAAGAGCTTTAAGTAAATGCTTTATTTGCACCTTCTAATTTGCATTTTCTTACTTGGCTTTTCTAAATTAGCGGTTGTTAAGAAGCACATTGTTAATAGGAGGGCTGACCTATCTACTCATAGAATTTTGTTAATACAGTAGAGGATTTAGGAGTAGATTTTTTTTTTCTGTGCTGGGGATTGAACCCAGGGCTTCCCACATGCCAGGCCAGTGCTCTACCATTGGGCTACACCCCCAGTCCAGGAGTAGATTTTTAATTTTTAATGTAAACGTTCCTAAGGGACAAATTTCCTGGCTAATGAGTGGCCTCCCACCTCGATCATTTTTTAAAAATAACTTTTTATTTTAGAATGTATTTGATTTACAGAAAAATGGCAAAGATAGTACAGGGTTTCCCTATATCCTGCATCCTACATTAATATGGTAACTCTGTCACAATGAAGCAATATTGATACATTGTTGTAAACTAAAGCCCATACTTTATTTACATTTCCTTAGTTTTTACCCAGTGTTCTTTTTCCATTCTAGGAGTCTGTCCAGAGACTGTGGTACGTTTAGCCCTCCTATCTCATGCTCTCTCGGTTGTGACAATCTCTCAGACTTTCCTTGCTGTTGACAACCTTGGCAGTTTTGAGAAGCTCCGGTCTGGTGTTTTGTAGAATTGGATTCTATGTTTGTCTCACGATCAGGCTGGAAATAGGAGTTTTGAGAGTGAAGACCTTCGAGGTGAACTGTCACTTTCATCACATCATATCAAGAGTGCATCCTGGAAACTTGGTTGATGGCTGTCGATGTTGACCTTGGTCACCTGGCTGAGGTCGCATTTGTCAGGTTTCTCTTCTGGGAAGTTACTCCCTCCCCCTTCCCCACACTGTGTGGTTTGGAGGAAGTCGGGCTCCACGCACCATCCACACTTTGGGAGTAGAAGTTATCCTTCACCTCCTTGAAGGCAGAGTGTCCACAAAAATGATTTGGAATTATTCTGCACAGGTTTGTCTCTTCTCTATAGGTATTTATTTATTTATTTTCCAGCTGCTTCTCTATGCCAGTCTGGATCCCTGGGTGTTTATTTTGTGTTTTAGACCACAATGTAACGCTACTTCCTGTTGTTGCTCAACTTGTTCTAGCTTTAGGCTTTGAGAGCTTTTTCGGGGGTTCGTTTGGGAACGGGGATAGATCCCTTTGACATACCCTTATGGTGGCATTTAAATTTTTTTTTATTTATGTTTTTGAGTACTTCCTTACATCCTGGCACTACAGAATGTTCCAGAGATGTTGGACATGTTTTCTGTTCTAATCTTGAAATCAACATTTCTCCAAGGAGCCTTGGGTCCTATTATCGGAGAACTGTGTTAGAGAATGTAAAGTGTGCTTGTTGCTGTGGGGTCATTGCTTCTAGGCCCTCTTAGCCGACAGAACAAGGAGGTACATATGTATCTACTAGCCCAAGTGTTCATGTGTGTAGCTCTCTTTTGATATGTAATAACTGTATCTCTATTGTGCTAACCAAATTCATACTGATGTTTCCAACTCTAATCCATCCACTATCTTTGCTTATCTGCAAACTACTCCAATGCTTCCTCATTGTTCCTGGGAGACAGCTAAGTCCTGCCATCTCCTCTGAGCAGGTGGTCAAGCCCATGGTTGACCCAGCTTCGACAACCCTGCTCAGAGCAGTCAGAGTGCCCAGGAAGCAGCATAGGCACGTTCTCAGCTTGAGGTGGAAGCCCAGAGTTTTATCACCAATTTGGTTTATGACTTGTTCTTTCTATCAGCAATAAGAATGGGGCAGGCTCACTGTGAAGCAAGGTGCTAGGGACATGGAGAATCACCCACACTTATTACCACCACTTGGATGTTAGCTGTCAGACTTTTAGGTCTTAGATGGTGACTGTCATTCTCTGACCACAAATTGTCCCTTCTTGGTCCTGTTGGGGAAAAATCATACAACGAATAACATTTTGCCACTCCAAAATGTTATTCGTTGTATGATTTTAGTCTCCAACTTTGTCTACACTTTAAAAATTATCCACTCATCTCCCTGTGAACCTCTGGCCAGCTAGTTTTTTTTTTCTTCTTTTCTATAGAAACTATTTCTGAAAGTCTTCATGCTCCTCAAACTCCCACCCCACCCCACACTCAGTCATGACCTTGCCCTTCCCACACACCAAATGATGCTCAAAACATTTCTGCCACACCCGCAGCAGCTTTCTACTCTCCAGTTCTGAGGTGCTCGGGAGAAGGTAGAAACATCACAGAGCCGTGATTTTCATAGTGTGGTTCTCTGGGCCCAACAGCATCTGCAGTGCCTGGGAACTTGTTGAAGATACAGCTCTCAAGCTCCATCCAGATGTACTGAATCAGAAGTTCTGGGAGTGGGCCGGGGCCTCTGGGGGTTGCCAAGGGCTCCAGGTGATTCTGGTGCGTGCTAAATCAGCCTTGAAACAAGATGTGGTTTCTGCTTATGCCTTCGGTCTTGCCAGTGTTGGCACTGCCTCTGTTCTATTGTGTGCTTTAATGATGCAGAATCGTGGTGCTGACCATCCCCAATGTGATCAAGCTTTCTCTTGGCTCAGGGGTTTGCAAAAACCGCTACCTCAGCTCAGAAATCTGCTGCTCTTCATTCTCCATAATCCCTTGTCTCCCAACATTACAAACTTCAGGGACTTGCTTCACATCTAGGGCTAAAATCTAGATGTGAAGACAGACTGGGGATGTGGACTCTGACGTCAGCGGCAGAGGCCTTCCTGACTGGGGGCCCCATGCCAATGTGTGAGTGTCTCCAGCTGTGCCGACTTCCTGGTCTTGCGTCACTTCAAGGTGACTTGAAGACAGAGTCTGTGTGGAAGGGTTGACAGTCATTTCAACAAGCTGTTCTTTTTGTTGTTTTGCAATAAAGAAAAGCTAGCTTACCAGCTCCGTCTATTTCTAATGTCATCCTTTCCACTTGCCGGACACTGAGTCGCTTGTGGACTGGGTAATTAGCTTGGTTGGAAGTTGGACTTTCAGGTTGGGTTAGGGCAGAGGGAGGGCATGTCCATTATTCTCTGGGTTGCCTAGCTGCCTCTGTGGTCTCACTTTAAGATCTCACAAAATAGCATTTCACCAATGCCAAGGGATCCCCAGGAGGGCCCTCTAGTGTCATTCAAGATAATTCTAGGGAGGAAAGGTCCACATATGGAAACTGATTTGGGAGGCTGTCCACCTCTTCTGGGAGACTGGCCTGTTTTATGATTTCAAGCAGTTGGCTACAGCTAAGGAATTGTTTCACCTGAATGCTCCGCTGTGAAGAACAGGTCCACTCCGGTGTGTGGTGTGGGTGGGGCTCGTGTAGCTCTCAAGGGACACTGAAGTGCAGTACCGATGTGAGGTGGTAGGACATCTGGAAGGTGGGGCCTAGGTCTTTAGGTCATTGGGGGGCGTGCTTTTTGGAAGGTGTTTTTTTTTTTTTTTGTGGTGCTGGGGATTGAACCCAGGGCCTTGTGCAAGGCAAGGCAAGCACCCTACCTACTGAGCCATACACCCAGCCCTGGAAGGTGGTTCTTAAAGGGTATTATAAAAACCTGTGTGTGCCCCCACCAGTGCTGTCCCTGCTCCTGTAATCACTTTTGCTCCTGCCATCGCTATCGGTGCCATATGTGACGCAGTCCAGCTGTGGCTCTGGCCAAGCAGTCTGGGCCATGCTGTTTGGACTTTGAATCTCCAAAACCATGAGCTAAAATGGACAAACCTCTTCTTCCTAAGTGTCCTATGTTAAGAATTTTGTATAATAAGGCAAAGCTAATGTACATAGAATGCATTTTACCTGTTTAGCTGCGTTGTAGGACAAGGCCCATGAATTCTCAGTGGTCATTCACCAACGTTTTCAGTTTGGTTAACTTCCCCGTGGTTTCTGCACAACTCTAAGCAAGGCCACATTTTTGTTGTTTCTTGTACATTTTTTTTGGTTTCCTGTAAATATGAGACATATCCCTGTTAAAACCTGATGGGATGTCAGCGTGTGTGTGTGTGTGTGTGTGTGTGTGTATGTGTGTATATTCCAAGGCTCTATCGGCTTGCCCTCTCTGACTGCTGAAGGTCGCCTGTATTCCTTGGTTCCTGGCCCCATCTTCTGTCTTCAAAACTGGGGACATCGCATCTTCATGTGCCTCTCTTCCATGTCACATCAACAGCTTCTGTCTTCTGCCACTCTTCCTACTTTTTAGGACTCTGGGAAGGCAGTGGCCTCCTGGGTAAACCAGGATAATGTCCCTACTTTATGGTTATCAGATTAGCAACCTTAATTCCATCTGGGAGCTTAGTGCCTCTTTGCCATGCAACCTAACATGCCCAGGTCCTGCAGACGGGATGTGGCTCTCTTTGCAGAGGTGATGTCATTCTTCTACCTACTTCACTAGTTTCTTTTTGTTAGTAGTGTGTAGTAATTTCTTCATTTTGGGGGGGGTATGGGGAATTGAACCCAGGGGTACTCAACTACTGAGCCACGTCCCCAACCCATGTATAAGTATTTTATTTAGAGACAAAGTCTCTCTGAGTTGTTTAGGGTCTTCCTAAATTGCTGGCTGGATTTGAACTTGCAATCCTCCTGCCTCAGCCTCCTGAGCCACTGGCATTACAGGCCTGCGCCACCGCACCCGGATAGTAACTCTTTACTTTTAAACATTTTGAGTCCTTTGTCAACTTGGTATTTCTGTCATCTATCTTTTTTTTTTTTTTTGGTGGGGTGGGTATTTCTTTGATGCTTATAATTCTCCCACTTCCTCTCTGCTCCTTTAGAAAATACACATTTTATTTATTAATTGATAAATTATAAATTGTGAATTCATAATTTAACATGCATCCTTGATGTTAAAAGGCCCAAAGTTAGTCACTCTCTTTATTCTCCTCCTCCTATTCAATAAGGTCCTCGTCTGATCCCTGCCCTCCCCTGTGAACCAGGTGGCTCCAACAGGAGCTTGTCTCTTAGTCCTGGATGCTTGAAGTCCAAGGCAGGGCTGGTCCTTCCCAGGCTGTGGGAGTCCGCCACACCCATTGCCAGCTCCTATGGTCTCCTGGTCACCTTCTGCTCTCCTTGGCTTGTGGAAGCCACTCTGCTCTGCCTTCGCCTTCATACAACACCCTCCCTGTGTGTGAGTCTCTGCACCCAAGTTTCCCTTCTAACAAGGACTCCAGTTATTTTGGATTGACTCCAGTTAAGTGATCTCCTTTTTTTAAAAAAATATTTATTAGTTGTAGATGGACACACACCTTTATTGATTTATTGATGTGGTGCTGAGGATCGAACCCAGGGCCTCATCATGCTGGGTGAGAGCTCTGCCGCTGAGCCACAACTCCAGCCCCCAGTGATCCCCTTTTAACTATTACATCTGAAATGACCTTCTTTGCAAACATTACGAGCTCCTTATGAGGTCCTTGGGGTTAGGACTGCAGCGTTAAGAAGTTTGGGGGCATATAGTCCAGCTCCTGGGGCTCTCCATCTTGGTTTGACACACTTTAAAATAGTCCTGTGTTTATTTATTTGTGCACCCTTCATTTTGTGGACCTCTGTCTCTTGAAGCTCAGCTTCTTCCTCTGGGCTCAATTTTCTTCTTCTCAATGACGCCTCGTCTTGATCATTGTTCATGATGTCCTCTCTCCTTTATGATATTTACTTGCATCTAGAATTCCACATTGACATCTTTTCCCAGCACTTTGAAGATACGATGTCAGTCTTTTATCGTTTCTTTTGTTACTGTTGGGAGGTCTGAAATCAATTTCACGGTTTCTTTGTAGATAATCTGTCTTCCCTCCCCCTCCCACTTCCTTCAGGCAACTCCGAGACTCACTCCACGGTTTGCTGCAGTTTGACTACGCTATGTCTAGGCGTGCATCTATTATCATCATCTTTTTCTGTTCAGTATTCACTGTTGCCCTGAGTCTGTAGACTCATGCTTTCTTTTATTTCCAGAAAAATCTCAGTCTTTATAGCTTAGAAGGTGGCTTTCGTCCTGTTTTCTCTTTTCCATCCCAAACATTTTTTTTCTCTACAAGTGTAATTTTTATTGAAGCATAAAATGCATATAAAAACTACATAAATTATAAGTGTTAGGTTTGCTGAATATTCATAAGCCTAAACCTCTGTTTAACCAGCACCCAGACCCAGAAATGGAATAATTCCAACACTCGAAATCCCACTTCAACTCCTTCTGGTCACTGCCCACATCCCCTATCAAGGGTAGCTGCTATCTTGTCTTTTATCACCACAGATAAGTTTTACTTGTTTCGAAGCTGCATAAAATTGGAACCATATTCTCTTCAGTTTCTCTTTTACTCAATGTTACGTTAGTGAAAATCATCTACGCTGTGCGTACTTGTTATTTATCCTTTCTCACGGCAGTATGGTATTCCTTGTGTGATTCTCACCCAGAGCTTTTTTTGGAAGCACATAGGACCTTCTCTCCCATCTGTCATATCTCTTGCCTTCTTTCTCATGTTTTGCATCTTAAAAAGATTCTTTTTAAGTTGCAGATGGACACACATATATTTATTTATTTTTATGTGGTGCTGAGAATCGAACCCAGTGCCTCACACATGCCAGGCAAGTGCTTTACCACTGAGCTATAGCCCCAGCCCTACATTTTCTATCTTTTTAATTCTCTGTGTTTCCTGCTGTCTGAATTCCTCAGATCTTCCTTAATGTTTACTAAATCTCTACTTGGCCACACCAAATTTGTGGTTTAGCCTATTGACTAAGTTTATTATTTTTTTATTTTTTTGTTTTTTGTATCTCTGTAGTCTGACTTTATTTTTGTTTATTATTTTTTAATAAGAAATTTTTTCCCCATTGACTGAGTTTTTAATTGCAGTAACAACCTTTGTCATGACTGTAAGCTCTGTTTGGCTCCATTCCATATACAACTGTTCATCAAATGCATTTTTTCTTCTCTCTTAAATTTGATCTTAAACATACTTATTTAAACTCAGAGGGCTCCTTTCCAATGAAATATTAGGGGATCTTGTCTTAATTTTGTTGTGTGTGCTGACTTTTGTTTTTGGTGCATTTTTCTTGTGAATTGGATAATCTTGAATTGAGATCTGTTTTTTTTTTTTTTCCTTTTGTTCCAGTGGAGCTGTACATTTGGAACCATAGTGTGGCCTTCTTGGAGGACTTCTCTTTGGAAAGGTGTGGTGGATGTTTCTGCTGCAGCTGTAGCATGAGATTAGGACCAGCTTCTATATTAATTTCTTGGATTGGATTTTTCTGCATTAATCAGGTAGCACAGAGTATATTCATTAGGCTTGAGTGAGGTCCAAATAGTGATTCTGAATTCTCGGGGGAGATTATGTTTCCCTATTCAGAATCCAATGTGAGACAGACAACAATCTTTACCCAATAAACTCTCCGTGGCTCAGGAAAATTTAAAAAAACCACACAGCCCTGTGACTTGAGCACTGGACCCCATGACAAAAGAAGTGGACATTGGAATCCAAGGATGGACCCCATGACTGGGACTTTGGAGTGTCTCATTCGAGAAATGGGGCAGGAGAGAATCTAGAAATGAAGTCAGGACGTCAGACAGTAGAGGCCACGTGGCAGGTGAAAGGGAAAGGGAGGTTCTGGGGTAAATTTTGTGTATTCTGGGCACTCGGATCAACATGCCATTGAAATCATCTTGACACTTAGTTTGAGCCCTTCTCTGGACCAGGGGAGGTCCCCTTAATGGCACAGAACCTGGCCAGTCTCATTGGCCACATTTTGGATGATGCAACTTGTCTTTAGTACCATCCTGTTTTGCTATCCCACTTTCTACAGCCTCTCGGACAAGTGTCTCATCCTCAAGCACCTGTGAAGGAATGGATGATGAGGTCAATAAGAAAATTAATAAAACTACCCGGAAGGTGGCCTTAGGGAAGTTGAGGCCCCGTGGGACATTGCTTCTCAGTTTCAGCTTATTTCTGTGAAGTGGAAATGCGCAACCTGGACCGGGATTTTGGATTTTTAAAAGAAAACATAAAATTTTGGCAACTCATTCAATTATTAAAATGTGCTGTGCTAACCACAAACACAGCTGTGGTGCACATATGGCTTGCAGGCTGCCGGATTGCAATCTCTACTTTGAACGGCCTTCCAGAACCTTCCAGGAGCCTGTGTCCCCTCTTTCCGAGCGGTTCCCACCTTCCAGGCCTACCTGTCAAACAGAATGTCTTCGCTTTCAGAATCATCTGTGTTCTTAATTCTTCACTAAATACCCCGTTCTTTGAGTGAGCGTGTTTGAACAAATTTGCACTAATGTGGGATTGAAGGATGTCCCTCCTGCATGTTGGACTGAGTCGCATTGCGGAGCCCCGGAGCAGCATGCCTGGCCGACAGGCTGTGCGGGCTGTGCTGCCAGATGTTCATGACCCTGGCTCTCCACTTACCTGCTGAGAAATTGTCTCCAAGAGAATCAGCTCCAAAAGGCCTCAGCTCTCTCAGCGCTGCTATTCTTCTCTGTTGAGTCAAGCTCTGTCAGTGTTGCTGAAAGGCTATTTTAAAGTATGTCACATACTGGATGCTTATTTTCGTCCAGAGTATGAGAATTCTGCAGTTGTAAGAGCCCTGGAAATCTCCTAAGTCAAGCCCTCCACTGGGTGGATTTTGTAGACAGGAGAGATTTTGGTTCAAAGGACCTGTCCGAGGCCTGGCTAGCCACACTGGAATGTCTGCAAACTTTATTTGTAATGATAAATTTTGTTGCAGATGTGACTTTAATCTCCCAAAGCTTATCCACCCGGCATTGTGAATTAATCATTAAAGCAAATTATCGCTCCTGAGTCTATCAGGGTGGGGTAGTGGGGAAGAGACCCAAGGTCTTGCAGCGGTCATGTATTATCTGCCTGCGGTTCTCTAAGTTTCAGTCAGGCATCAGGAAACGACACAGTCAGATCTGCTTTGTGGTGAGAGTTTTATTCTGAGTGTTATTAGCGTGGTGTGAACATGAGCCCATCTCTTGGAAAAATTCATACTGGCCCAAGTTGTCTGTTCCTGACTAGTGGAAGGCTGGTTTCTTCTTCCTGTGAATCCCCTTCCCAAATGGTTGAAGAACCTGAGGGTTACAGAGTCCTAAGGCGGGGGTGGGCAGGGGGTTTAGTAGCAAAGCCAAAGCTGAATCAGCCCACTGTGCCCACAGCTCCACGGAGCTTCACAGTGTCCCTGTCAGTCACCTCTAAGTGCTCCAGAGACCTTCTATGATTTGAAAAAGGATGGCCCTTGAGGTAGACAGGGCTCTGTGGCCTCCCGTAGGCACGTGAAACCCGGACTAGACTTTGCCCTCACTTGCTTCTTTGAGCTAAAGTCCCTGCCCCATGGCGGTGTTGGCCCTGGTGTAGCAGGACACCTGCTCCCACACTTTCTGACTTGGGGGGGTGCTGGTCTCATGTCCCTGGTAGTTATCATGGGTCTCTGAGGGGGATCGGCTCCCTTACTTGGGCTCCCAGGTCATGGCTCTTACATGTCACCTCTCAGCTCTTTTGTTGCCATCTCAGGAGGCGAAAGCCCCTCAGGGGACGCCCACCTGGTCTCTGCCTCCTCCCTGAGGACCTCACACTCCACCCTCAGAACAGAGGGTTTGAGTTCTCACTCTGCAGAGCTGGGAGAGAGACCCTCCTCGTAAGGCCCTGAATGCCTACAGGGAGGCTCACAGCCTCCAGGATCCTAGCGTCCCTCGGGTGACTCACCCTCCTGAAGTCAGCACAAAGAACTTTCTAGAGCATGCTGTGATGGAGAAAACAAAAACAAAAACAAAAACAGTGCAAGTAAAAGTCCCCTGGAGATTCTCGACACACGCTGGTGGAGTGTTGTATTACGACCTGTTCTCTTTTTGGTCTCCACTTAACACTACTCATCAGATTGCATGTGAAATAGGCTGGTGGCCTCAGCAAGAACTGCAGAGGGTCAGGACTTTCAGGAAACTCACTGAGCCTTTTTTGGACCCTTGGCTCTGGCTTCACTTGCAAATGAAATTCTGGGTGCTGACTCACCCTCTGAATGTCACTCTGGTAGCCGAAACCCTCAGCTGGCCTCCCTTGTGACTTGGAGGAACAGATGCTGAGAAGCAGGGGCCCAGGCTGGGCTCAGGGGCTGGACTGCTGACCTGGAAGCCAGGCCTTTCGCGCGTGACCACTTTCTTCCCATTTGAACTCAGCAGTTGTGGGGTCAGAAGTCCTCGTGCTAGAATCCACGCAGCTGCGGGACACAGGGTGGACTACAATGAACAATGAAGGTTTCCTTTCTTTATTTCGAATTCTGAAAAGGCTGACCAATGTCTTTAAAATTATCCCAGCTCACGGAAATCAGGTCAAGGATTAAGGGAAAACGCCAGCAAACAAAAATCAATAAATCATTAACGTGAGGAACACGCCTTCCAGGCCCGTTGGCTGGCTGATTTGCCAAGAGACAGAAGGGTCAGTGACTTCTCAGAAGTGACATCATAACCATGATGTCCCTAAGAGTGAATGCATTAATTTCGCGTGTGCTGCTCATGAAGGGCTGAGAGCGATGCTATGTCGCCCCCTAGTGGTAAGTGCAAGTTATGCACAAATGGGCTCCGCGATTGCCTTGGCAGCCTCCAGATGAGGTGAGGCCTTTAGATGAAAACTGACCTCAACAAATGACGCATGACAGGTATTAAAATAGAACTACTCCAAAACCTTCCCTGCCTTCTGTTTTAGTTTTTAAAATTTTCGTCTTGAAATTTTATTAAAATGTATTTGAAAGGAAAACTAGTAACAATGTATACCGGCTGTACTACACAAGTGGAAGTCCAATTATTGACAAGCTTAGCACAAAGGACAGGGTATGGAGATTGAATTATATTGTCATGAGCATTCATTATACATTTCGGAAAAGCATATCTAAGTGGGAATGTCTAAAAAATATTACTATTAGGAAATATACCTTTTAATTTTGTCTTATTTTGTTTTCCCCCAGCTTTAATTAACATATAATTAAAAAATTAAAATTGTATATATTTATGGTGTTCAATCTGATCTTTTGATACATGTGCACATTGTAAATTGATTAAATCAAGGTAATTAACATTCACCATCTCACATACTTTTAAAATGTGAGAACATGTACAGTCTAGCCTCTTAGCTATTTGTATGTGTACAGTGGTGTTGACCCTTGGTGTCCACAGGTTCCACATCCATGGATTCAAGCAACTGAGGACTGAGGAGGCAGGTAGTGTGTGTGTTGAATTTGTATATGCTTTTTTCTTATCATTATATATATATATATATATATATATATATATATATATATATATATATATATATTTTTTTTTTTTTTTTTTTTTTTTTATGGTACTGGGGATAGAACTCAGGGCACTCGGCCACTGAGCCACATCCCCAGCCCTGGTTTATATTTTATTTAGAGAAAGGGTCTCGCTGAGTTGCTTAGTGCCTTGCTTTTGCTGAGGCTGGCTTTGAACTTGTGATCCTCCTGCCTCAGCCTCCAGAGCCTTGGGGATTACAGGCGTGTGCCACCATGCCTGGCTGGTTGATAACTTTTTATAAAGCATTTACATTATATTACATATTAGAAGCAATCTAGAAATGCTTTAAGGTATGTAGGAAGATGTGCATAGGTTATATGTAAATACTATGCCATTTTGTTTAAGGGACTTAAGTGTCTATTGAAAGACCTAAGCAAGCTCATTCTACTTGGGACCTCATTTTGCTCTGAAACTTAGCCTCTGACCTACTGCAGTCCTAAAGTCAGGAAAATACCACAGAAAAGCTCTGTGGAAACATTTCTCGAAAAAGCTGCAGATGGTGATCACCTAAGATAGGCCAAGATATCGAAATATCTGAAATTCCAGATGACCCCCACCTAGGTGTGGTGACCAATATCTAAACTAGAAGCCCTGCAGCTTGGCACGTACCCCCCTTGCGACACCCTCACGGTTTAAACCCATCAATTTTAAGTGCGTCAACCCCTTGAACTAACCAATAATCCTTTCCAGATTCTTTCCCACCACTTGATACGCTAATCATGTTTTAGAGTTGTTTTATGATTTTCCCGCGGTGTGTGATGATTTGCTAAGAGATGCTATGATGTATGTGGGGTCCCTGCCTTCTCTAAAGAAGGTATAAAACTGCTGCAAACCCTGGGCATAACACTATGGATCATGGCTTCCTCCCGGGTCCTGAACCAGTTCCCCATGGGCACTGGATGTTAGAGGCTTCTGTGTGTATTTGGTCTGGGACGCTTAGGTGGGGGCATTTTGGAGCGAGGATCACTGTGCCAGGCTCTCTGGGCTGGGGCCTCATCCACCAAGGGTTATTAAATAGTGGGGGATGGGCCTGCCACAGGCCACTCTCTGAGTCAGTCCTTTAGATAACGGGAGGACAGGAGTGAGAACCCTTGTTCTCCCAGGGAAAGCTGCGTGCTCCTGCTGTTGGGGGTTTTGTGTGCCTCATTGTGTATGAACTTGAGGGTCATGACGTTTTCTGAGGAAGGCAGGGACAGATCCTTCCTAGTCTCCAGGCTGCCTGTCTGTGGAGAACAGGGAGTAGCTGCTGTGAGGGCCTGACCGCCACCACCCTCTGCCCCCACCTTTGTTTAAGCCAGCAGTCAGATTTTCCCATGTGGAAATAACCTTTCTTCCTTTCTCAATTCAAGTGGTCAAGCAGGGTCGACCTCATCTACTGAAGCGTGTCCCTTGTCTCTGGCCAGTAACGGGCCCCAGCCCCTGGTCACCATATAGACTGATAGACAGATATGGGAGCATTCTGTCAGGAATGGGGTTGCTAGCTGGCCCAGGACAGGACTGTGGACACAGCTTGCCTGAGTGGAACCAGCCCAAGAACACCAGCTCTGGGGGACAGCGGGAGGCCCTTGGCCTGAATTTGCTGTGTCTGGTGCTAGCCACACCTCTAGGCTTTAGAGTTCTCCTGAGAGCTTCGATTCCTTCAGCTCAGCCAGTCTAATTGGGTGGCTGCACCTGAGGGGCCGAAGCTTGAAACAGGAAGTGCCTCGGTTTGATAACTTAGGTGATTAGCATTGTACTAGAGTGACCTCTGCGACAAATTCAGTTACCACATGGTCCAGCTAGCACTGCTGAGAGCCAAGCTCTGCCCCTTGAACGGCACCAATAAAAGCAGGATTCAGAGAGCCAGAGTACCTGACTCCAGACCCTTCTTCATGCAAGTGGAGTGATTTGGTGAGCTTCCTAGTGATGATGGATCAGCCCTGTCATCTCTAAGAATCAAATGTTCTGGAAAGAGTATAGGTGGATCTATAAATTTGCTAGAAAACAAAGTATTTTGACACTTTTGCCAGCCTGTGTCCTGAATTGCACTGAAGTAATTGGTGTACTGGAACTGCTGGGAAACATGATCCAGTCATCGAAACCAAGTGGACTGTGGACCAAATACATTGTTTTAAATCACAGAGAGTTTTTAAAGGGAGTTAAAGTTGGCAGCAAAAACTTTCAAAAGAAATTGACTGTACCACTGAAAAGTAGCACGATAGTAATTTATTTCCTGGGAAGTAATTGTGACAATAAATGAAAAGCTTTCATCAAAGTCTTTCAGGATGAACAGAGCCTAAGTAGGTACTAATTTGATTTCAGAATTTTGTTATTTTAAAGCAATTTATAACAGAACCAATTTCAGTTATGCATTTTGATACAATATGGTGTGGGAAGCAAATTAAACTTATGACACAGAGGAGGTGGGAAATGTGTTCTATGAATAAATTTGAAGCTTCCCAGATGCCCTTCAATAGATGAATGGATAAAAAAAATGTGGCATTTATACACCATGGAGTACTACGCAGCACTAAAAAATGACAAAATCATAGAATTTGCAGGGAAATGGATGGCACTAGAGCAGATCATGCTTAGTGAAGCTAGCCAATCCCTAAAAAACAAATACCAAATGTCTTCTTTGATATAATGAGAGCAACTAAGAACAGAGCAGGGAGGAAGAGCAGGAAGAAAAGATTAACATTAAACAGATACATGAGGTGGGAGGGAAAGGGAGAGAAAGGGAAATTGCATGGTAATGGAGGGAGACCCTCATTGTTTTACAAAATTACATATAAGAGGTTGTGAGGGGAATGGGAAAATAAACAAGGAGAGAAATGAATTACAGTAGATGGGGTAGAGAGAGAAGATGGGAGGGGAGGGGAGGGGGGATAGTAGAGGATAGGAAAGGTAGCAGAATACAACAGTCACTAATAGGGCATTATGTAAAAATGTGGATGTGTAACCGATGTGATTCTGCAATCTGTATTTGGGGTAAAATTGGGAGTTCATAACCAACTTGAATCTATTGTATGAAATATGATATGTCAATAGCTTTATAATGTTTTGAACAACCAATAAAAAAAATAAATTAAAAAAAAAATAAATAAATTTGAAGCTTGTCTGCTTGATCCAAAGACAGATTGGGATATCTATCAATATCACAAGGGAGAAATCTCTCCCTGGCCTTATAATCAAATAAAAATTTCCAAATTTTCCACTTTAGGTTGTGGAGGCTGGCAATTCTGACAGAAGTTCAAAGATCAATATTTCTTATGGAGCTGGAATCGAGGTCCTGAAATATTTCCAAAGTTTTGATTGTCATTGAGATAACAATAATGTAAAAAATAGGATATAACTCAAGCCTGTCTTTAAGGGCAATTACATTTACACAGAAAATATTCTTCAAGAGTAAAGCATCACTGAATCCTGGTGCATAAATCTCTCAGATCTAACCTCCACAGCCTTTTTTTATTTTCCAACTAGTGATACATAACTCACTACTTTTTAAAATACATGTAATTATTGTATAGTGGAACGGAGTTAGACTACTAGACCCTTAAGGACATAAAGTTTATGAGCTTAGAAGTCACATTTGAAGTAGTGTTAATGACAGCTTGGAAATGAAAACCGAGACAATTAAACATCCGGAGGCCTGACTTTGTTTTGGAGTGCCTTCAAAGAAAACGTTTGTAATAGCTTTCTCCCATTAGTCATACTTGGTCCAGCCGACACACAACACAAGTACCATTCTCCATTCTTCAAATTCTTACAGGATGGATGCTGTGCTTTACAGGGTTTCTGAGTTTTCACATAGTCTAGTTTTTTCCACGCCAACGTAATATGGGCGGTTCCTTGTGGACCATGGTTACCTCACAGTGCCAATTCCACACACTTATTTAATAAGCATTTATTAGGTGCCTATTCAATAGGGTACTATCTGGGTCTTATGGAATTTACAACTCAATGGAAAGACACAAGCAAGCTTTCGACAACAGCACAATTTCAATAGTGCTGCATTGCACAGGGAGCTCACTTAAGAAATAGCTGATGGCTGAGTTCAAGGCTCAAAACCTCTTCATGCCTCTGTGTTCCCAACTGCAACACAGGGATAATAATTCCTGTGAACAATTATGATGCAGTTGAACCCACAGAATACAACCAAACACAGTTGTATTCTCTATAGCAGTGTCCATCTGTCTGCTGAGGGATAATATGGACGGGTACATGTCCTGGTATACAGTATAGAACTCAACATTCGTATTAGGTAGGAACGATTATTATCCTAATTTTTGAAGATGAGGAAACTGAGGCAGAAGAAGAGAAATTAGGTTAGAAGTAGAGAAGTTAGGTGGCCACTTACCCTATTATTAAGAGACAAAGACTCAAACTCAGAGTTGGATCCAGAGTCCACATGTCTAACCCCTATTTTCTTTAAAGGAGAGAAAGATGAAGAATAAAAGATACAGACATGGAGAGAGAGACAGAGAACAAAAGAGAGGGAGATAGACAGGAAGAGATCCAGAGACAACTCTAACTTGGTGGCAAACAGATGTGTGTCAAAAAAACATCCCGAAGACTTCTGACAATGGTTCCTGTGTGCCAGCAATTCTTAGTCAAGCGCTAAGACGCCACTGAGATTTAGGAACAGTAATCCTTAAACCTGGAACTACTGTCAGCAGAAATCTGGCCAAGACTGGAATTGGTGGATTCTTCAATCTTTTCCGGTTCTGTGTTTGGAAGTCCAGGCCAATGGGGGGGGGGGTGGGAGTGGGTATGAGGGATGATAAGACAGGGGGAAACTTTATATTTATTGAATCTTTCTTGCAAATTTCAATATTTTATAAATGAAATTTCCTGATGGATTAATATATATTTAGAGTGATGTCCAGTGAAATCTTTATTTTTAACTTTGTTATAACAAGGGCTTGACCACATCCATAATTAAGCTAT